TGAATGAATGAATTGAATTGAATGTAATGAATTGAATGAATGAATTGAATGAATATGTCCCCCCCCAACTGAAAGGGTTCTTGGCTGCAAAGGGAGGGAGGGGAGGCCCAGCCAGATCCTCTCTGATCTCCCAGCTTCTGCCTCTTTCAGCCCCTTTAAGATCCGGGTCCTTCCTGCTCACGATGCCAGCAAAGTGCGGGCCAGCGGTCCTGGACTCAACGCCTCGGGCATCCCTGCCAGCCTGCCAGTGGAGTTCACCATCGATGCCCGTGACGCTGGTGAAGGGTTGCTCACCGTACAGATCCTGGTAAGCCGTGGGACCAGGAAGGAACTGTGGGATAGCTGGGAGGCCTTCTATTAGTCCTGGGTGTGGCAACAGAGAAATGGGGAGGGGGTGGGTGGGAGAGGGGCTTGGAATTGCCAGCCCAAATGCTGGCTGGGGACATTCTGAAGCCCACCCACCTTAAAGTTGCTGGGATTGAAAAAAAAACTAACAATCTTGCAGGTCTGAAAATACAAATCTCTCACTGTCTGCTTTTAATGCCTGATTAACTAAGTCTTCATAAATGACTTAGATGAGGGAATAGAAGGGGAACTTACCAAATTTGCAGATGATACTAAGCTGGCAGGAATAGCCGACACCCAAAAAGATAGGCTGAAGATCCAGAGGGATCTTGACAGACTAGAGCACTGGGCCGTATCTAACAAAATGAAATTCAATGTAGAGAAAAGGAAAGTCCTACACTTAGGCAAGGAAAACCAACAGGACACATATAGACTGGGTGAATCCAGGCTCAATAGCAGGAACTGTGAAAGGGATCTTGGAGTCTTAGTGGACAACCAGCTAAATAGGAGCCAGCTGTGTGCAGCAGCCGCCGCCAAAAAAGCCAACGCAATCCTAAATTGCATTAACAGAGGGATACAATCGAGATCAAGGGAGGTACTAATACCACTCTATAAAGCCTTAGTAAGACCACACCTAGAGTATTGCATCCAGTTTTGGTCACCACACTATAAAGAAGTGCAGAGAAGAACAACCAGGATGATGAGGGGACTGGAGGCTAAAACATATGATGGACGGTTGCAGGAACTGGGCCTGGCTAGTCTAGTGAAGAGAAGGACCAGGGGAGACAGGAGAGCATCTTCCAATATTTGAGGGGCTTCCACAGAGAGGAAGGGGTCAAGCTATTTTCCAAAACCTCTGAAGGCCAGACAAGGAATAATGGATGGAAACTGGTGAAGGAGAGATTCAAATAAAGAAATAAGGAGACATTTTCTGACAGTGAGAACAATAAACCAGTGGAACAGAAGTTGTGGGAGCTTCATCCCTGGAGGCTTTCAAGAAGAGATTGGACTGCCTTCTGTCAGAAATGGTGTAGGGTCTGCTTGGGCGGGGATTGGACTAGATGACCTACAAGGTCCCTTCCAACTCTGTTAATCTGTAACCTGGTAATTAGGAGGGATCGTTTCTAAATTTCCTTCTCTGTCCATTGTACAGCTGAGGGTTCATCCTCCTTTTATCTGACCCTTTCTAGGCTGCGTCTCTTTCTCCTTTTCTCTCCCCACCCCTGCCTTGTTTTCCAGGATCATTCTCACATTCCATTACAGGTTGACCTTTGACCAGACCCTCCACCTCTCTTTCTTCCCCCAGGACCCTGAGGGCAAACCCAAGAAGGCCAACATTCGGGACAACCGAGATGGGACCTATACAGTCTCCTATGTCCCGGACATGACGGGCCGCTACACCATCACCATCAAATACGGCGGCGATGAAATCCCCTACTCGCCTTTCCGCATCCACGCCTTGCCGACTGGAGATGCTAGCAAGTGCCTGGTGACAGGTAGGTGGTGTCTCCTTTCCTGGAGGGGGTCACTTTCTTGGGGCAAGAATGATTTCTGACGAGGATGCTCATGTCTCTTTTTGTCTCTCTGTCTACAGTGTCCATCGGAGGCCACGGATTGGGTAAGCTTTGATGTGGACTGCAAGAACATTTGTCATGGCCCAGTTGTCCCATCATGTTTCCTAACATTTGGGAGCTCCCTTTTACTTGGGAATAACGAAGTCCAGGAGGTTCTCTTTGCAAAAGATGGCCTCCAGCGTCCCCCTGGAGTTTGGGGGGCTCCATCACTGGAGGCTTCCAAGCAGAGGTTGGACAAGCACTTGATTGGAGCAGAAGATGTTTAAAGTCCCTTTCCAAGTCTACGAGTCTATGATATTACCACTCTAGAGTGGATCCTTTTTTCTGGAATGTCCTTATTTTAGAGGCCCGTTGAGTTTTCTTCTCCATCCTTTTTATCATTCAGGTCCACAAACTTTATTTGAGAGTATGATTTTCATTATTCCTAGTTTTAATCTTAACTCCACCTGCTGGACTGAGACATTGGCTGAGTCGGGTCACGGCCAGTTTTGGTGACTCTTGACTTGATGGCTGCCTCCAGCATTTCTTTATCTGAACCTAGCCTACCTCAATAGTCCTGGGATGTAGGAGAAGGAATGGCAGAAGCTGGAGGTGGCATGAAAAGAGGAATTAGCTTAGAATCCATACGTAGTCACAAGCCAACCAAGTCCAACTGCCTTTGAGTGCTATCAACCCTTATTTGACTCTGACAAGGTGCTGACTATTAGATGAGAAGACTCCACATAGGCTTTTAGTAAGGAGTAGTGCAGTGGGCTAGAGGTGGAGCAGCTCTTGCCTCACAATCAGGAGGCTGTGAGTTCAATCCTAGGTAGAGCCAGATATTTCTCTCTCTCTGGGCACAATGAGAATATATCTGCTGAACAAAACTCCACATTGGCTACAGGAAAGGCATCCGGCCAGTAAACACTCTGCTAGCTCCATTTAGTTGCCCAGACTCCATCCCGCAAGGGATAATGCGGCCATTAACAGAAGGTGATAGGCTTTTAGTGAAAAGTCTTCTTAAATGGGACCATCACCTGTAGACTTGGTCTGACCATTTCTGGGCTTGGCTGCAACCATTGTCTTCATTTCCTTGTAGGAGCGTGCCTTGGTCCCACCATCCAGATTGGAGAGGAGACGGTGATCACGGTGGACGCCAAGGCAGCTGGGAAGGGCAAAGTGACCTGCAAGGTCTCTACGCCTGATGGGGCCGAGCTGGATGTCGACGTGGTGGAGAACCAGGACGGCACCTTTGACATCTATTACACGGCTCCCGAGCCTGGGAAATACGTCATCACCATCCGTTTCGGAGGCGAGCAGATCCCCAACAGCCCCTTTCATGTGGTGGTGAGTACAGGATGTGCCCGGACAAAAACCACCATCTGTGGGGTAGATGGACACAGGGCAGCCACCCCTTTCCAATGGCCCATCAAGCAACAAAAGTACCAATAGAAATGTGTAGCTCATGGTTGGGGTCCTGGGTGCTCTCTGAGCTTGGTGGTTTTCTTGGAGACGTTTCATGACCCAACGAGGTAACGTTGTCAGTGCTGGAAGGGAGAGGGTGTTGTGGAGTGGAGAAGGAGAAGGACTGTGGGGTCCTTAGTGCCCTCTGAGCTGACTTATTTACCTGCACACCTGCTCACGACTTTGACAATTCACTGACAGAGTTGTCAATGCCTGGAATGCACTACCTGACTCCGTGGTAAGGGGCCGTGCATAAGCGCACCAACGTGCCTACCGTCCCTGTCCTAATGTCCCCTTTCATTCGTACCCATTTCATGTGCTCATAATCATGTTTCTAACGATATCTGTTATGTAAAACGTGCTTGACAAATAAATAATTTTTTAAAAAATGACCCAACTAGGCAACACCATCAGTGCTAGAAGACGGTGGGGGTTTTCAGAGTAGAGGAGGAGAACAATGACAATTGTGGGTTTTTTTTGGTGTTCTCTGAACCTAAATATTTTTCTACAAACCTTTCATGACCCAACCAGGGATGGAGTGGTATTCAGGTGGAGTGCTAGAATGGAATGGTATTCAGAGTTTTGCGTTAATTCAGCGCCCGAAAAATAAACCACAGATGGCTGGTGCTTCATTTAACATCTTTATAAACATAATAAGCAGATTTTACAATGCCAGTTGTAGATTTCTCCCAACATGCAGCAAACTCAAACAGAAACATGTTGCAAGTAACTTCAGTAGCAAACATTATACACAGCAGAGGAGAGAAGCTGTTTCATCTTCAACAGACAGAGCTCAACATAGCTGCAGAGCTGCAGAGCTTAATATAGAGCCACGCCTAGGCTACTTCTAGTTTCAGTTTCCAATCAGCCCTCATTGGCTGACTTAGTTGCTATGCCTATTCGTTGGCTGACCTTATCACCAAACTCTATTCCCGTTCATGAATGTACTCTGACAGGCGGGTTTTGTGGCGAGGAGGAGGACGACGACAATTGTAGGGTCCTTGATGTTCTCTGAGCTTGGATGTTTTCCTGCAGACCTCTCATGACCCAATTAGGTAACATCATCAATGATAGGACAGAGAGCTAGAAGGCTTCTAAGCACTGATGATGTTACCTGGTTGGGTCACGAAATGTCTGCATGAAAACAACCAAGCTCAGAGAGCACCAAGGACTCCTTTGGTTGTGTTTGGTGGCCACCCCTCAGTTGTTCAGCTCTGTCCCAACAGCCGTCTGATGCAGCGAGGCTGTGGGGTGAAGAGAGGGCTCTCACCGTGCACGCAGAACCACCCACTGATGTCTCCCTTGCTTCCCGCCAGGCCTGTGACTCCATTCCTCAGGTTGAGGAGCCCTGCGAATCCAACCAGCTTCACCAGCCCTTCACGGTGCACCACTCTGGTGGCTTCCCTCCACATTGGGTACCAAGGACTGTCTCCTTGCTTGCCTTTGTCTCTTCTCCCTGTCTCTCTCTTTCTGTCTCGGAAAGGAGGGTCCTGCTGCCCCCATGCCCAATGCCAAGAGGGTCCTCAGGGTGTGGTGGAAGAAATCAAGAAGGTGACCGTGATGTGCAGTCGAAGCTCTGCCAACTTTTGATGGGCAACACAGTTGCACTCCTGCAGATACCCCTGGCCAAGGCCAAATTCCGACCTTGGTTTTTCTCCGACATTTATTTGCTTCTTCCTCTTCCACCCTTCCCGGAGACCTGATAGCATGAGATAATAGCAGTCTTCCAGTATTTGAGGGGGGGTCAAAGAAAGAGGGGGTTAACTTATTCTCCAAAGCACTGGAGGGCAGGACAAGAAGCAAAGGATGGGAAACTAATCAAGGAGAGAAGCAACCTAGAAATAAAGAGAAACTTCCTAACAGTGAGGACAATTAACCAGTGGAACAGCTTGCCACCAGAAGGTGTGGGTGCTCCATCACTGGAGGTTTTCAAGAAGAGATTGGACAGCCCCTTGTCTGGAATGGTTTAGGGTCTCTTGCTTGAGCAGGGAGTTGGACTAGAAGACCTCCAAGGTCCCTTCCAATTGTGTCATTCTGGTAGGTCCCTCCCAAAACGTTGGTGTTGTTGGGACCCCACGCAGCCAGGCCATACTTCCTTGTGGGGCAGGCAGCTCTGTCTCTAACAAAATGGTGCATTCGATCTGCACGGGAAGATCCGAGCTCTTTAAAGCCCAGAGTGGAATTGTTGGCTCAAGAAAGTTTGTAGAAAATCCCGTTCTAGTTTTGAAGGAGTTAAAACACCTGTCGAATCCAGCACAGCATAGGTAGCATCAGTGAAGTCCCCTTCAGAGTTTGCACCAAGCAAATTCACCCGACCTCCTGGCTGCGAAGTGAGTCATTTGTGGCTCAGCGGGTGGTACAAACTGAACAGCTAGTCCTCGACTTACAGCAGTTTGTTGAGTACCCGAAGTTACAATGGCACTGAACAAAGATACTTAGGACCGTTTTTCTCACTTATGACCATTGTAGCACCTCCCCATGGGGTAGGCCGGTTGGCCCAACAGCTGATCATTGGAGAGAACCAGTTCGCTCCCAGCTGATCTTCGGAGCTACCGGTTTGCCCAAACCGGATTGAACTGGTAGAATCCCACCCCTGGTCAAGACTCACTTAACAGCTGTCTCACTTAGCAACAGAAAGTTTGGGCTCGATTGTGGTCATAAGTCGAGGACTACCTGCAGGGTGGCTAGCTCAATGCAATTGTAGAAATCCAGCGGTTTTGGCAAGGCAGGGGCAACCAATGGACAGTCCTGAATCACTTCTTTGCCATTTTTTGCTGCCCTCCCAAAACCCCTTCAGGGTGTTCTGGATATTTTTTTTGGGGGGGGGGGGGGGGGGGTTGGTCATTAGTCTCCTTCTTTCTTCCAGCCCTGTTTCTTCCAGCTACTACACCCCCCAAGACTATTTCGGTTTCTAAATCTTTCTTTGGGGTGCTCTTTCGCCCTCTCGGTTCACCCCCCGGTTCTCTATCTGGACTTAAGTCTCTCTTTCTGCCCCCACCCCCCCGTTTGCTCTCTTCCCCTCCACGCCAGGCCACGGATGAGCCCGTTGCCCCGCCGGAGAGCGTGGATGCCATGCTGCGGCCTTTCAACCTGGTCATCCCCTTCGCCGTGCAGAAAGGAGTTATCACAGGTAGCCTGTCTGTCCGTCTGTCTGTCTGGGGATTGGATTGTAACGGGGGGGGGGGGGGGGAACCACGGCATGGAAGCACAGACTGGAGTTTTGGGGGAAGGTGGGGTGAATTGAGCCACGTCATCTTGGAATCCCTTCTGAGTTTTTACATTACAGGTAGGCCTGAAGTTACGACCGTTCGTTCAGTGACTTATTTACGGCCACCTCTTTTACCGTGCGTGTGTCCCTGAGCGATTCCCCCTTGAAAGGGGAACATTTTTGGTGTTTTGTCACCTCCCGCCAAGGTTTCAGTGGAACTGGGGTGTCATGGTTTTGAAAGGCATTAGAACAGGGGTCTCCAGCCTTGGCAACTTTTAAGACTTGTGGACTTCAAGAGTTGAACAGGATTGGAATAAATCCCGTTTTCCAGACGTTTTGTCCAAAGTGAGAACTTTTGGAAGAGAGACCCCTGTCTTCTTAGAGACTTGGAGTAACGTCATTGTCACTTTGAATATAGACGAATTGGCGTAGATTAAAACAGGGGGTCTCCAACCTTTAAGACTGGTGGACTTCAACTCCCAGAATTCCTCAGCCAGCTTCGAACTCTAGGAGTTGAAGTCCACAAGTCTTCAATTTGCCCAAGGTTGGAGACCCCTGTATTAGAGCCTATACAAAGTGTAACCTAACCAGGGGTGGGATTCAGCCGGTTCAGCCTGGTTCGGGGGAACCAGGTGCTACATTTACATCTGGTTTACCGAACCGGTAGTTGAACCGACCTGCTGGTCCTGCCCACCCCTCCCCTCCCAGGAGTCTCCGTGTGGCTCATTTTGGATGCAGGTAAGGGCAAGGTCCATGGGGAGGCTCTGGTGGGGTGGGGGAAATGAGCTGAACTGGCAGTTCCGGAAGTCTGGAAACGGGCCTCTGGAGCCCAGGGGAGAGACCATTTTCATCCTCCCAGAGGCCTGAGGGAAGCCTCCGGACTCTGGGGAAGGTGAAAAACAGCCCCTCCCGGAAGTTCCAGTAGGCCACACCCACCATGGCCACACCCACCCAGCAACCCGGCAGAGAACCAACCGGTTCTCTGGGATTTTGGAATCCCACCCCTGACTATCTCAGCTTTTGTTATTCCTGTTGAGCCGAAGGTCCATTGTAACCTAATGTGCCATTGGCGGAGATAAAGCCTCCAGGCCGGTTGCCAAGCTTAGCTAAGTAAACCTTGGTGTAATAATGTTAACATGTGAATTCTTTCTGCTGCAAGTATCTCATGTGAAGATTGCAGCCTCCTTCTTAAAAGCTCTTAAAACCGTGCATTCCTTTTTTCCTTCCTTCTGAGCCCCATTTTTCCCAAGTGCTGGCGAAATCATGGGGTTTGCATGAACCAGTGGATAAGAAATGAGGTTTCTTACATGAAGACGGGTTTTGCATGGACTGTGTAGTAGACTATAAAAAGGAAAAAAAGTTTTTAGTTAGGCCTTTCCTTTTCTCTCTCTGCCCTGTCTGTTTAAGGCAGGAGATTAAAAACACCCAGCTTCCATCTTGATCAATGATAAAGCTAATTATCAGTGGCCTCCTATTCAGAGTTTCAGTGGGTTAATTCGGATTCTGAGCTGGGCAAAAACCTAACGATTTTTAATTAATTTTTAAAATTCGATCTTGCTGATCTAAATAAGTTTATATATACTGCTTTTTTTTGGTAGGTTTTCCTATTTTACTTGTACACGGTACAAAGCCCCTCTATAATTGGGAGGCTAGATTAAAATGAAATAAATGATTAAAGGAAGTTCAAATGAAGAGATTGAATCAATAATCCCAAGAGAAAAAATGAGAGACAGGCTAGAAAATGGAATACTCATCTCTAATGATCTAAGTGCTGGAGCCCACTGTAACTACCTAGCTAAAAAGGCATTAAGAGTTGTTAACCTAATCCTGCATAACTTTTTCTCCAGTAATATTCTACTACCAACTAGAGCTGTGGTGACTAACCTTTTTGGGCTCCTGTGCCAAAAATTGTGCAAGCACTCGTGTGCCAGCACCCAGAAGGCAATGCATATGCCCCCTGCGCATGCATGCGCAATCCCTCCCCCCACTGCCCCCTTACCTGCATTGTGCCTCACAGCCAATTTTCGGCCAGTTTGAGGCCTTTTTTGGCCTCTGCAGGCTTTGCAGGACGAATAATAGGCCCATTTTATCACTTCCGGTGTTTACAGGAAGTGACAAAACAGGCCTATTATTCTTCTTGCAAAGCCTGCAGAGGTTTTTTTTTCAAGCCTCTGGGAGGCCGAAAAAGGCCTCAAACTGGCCAAAAATGAGCTGTGAGGCATGTGCAGTGAGGTAAGTTTGCCTGTGGCTTGCATGCCGGCACAAATGGCTCTCTGTGCCACCTGTGGCACGCGTGCCATAGGTTCGCCATCACGGAACTAGAGCATACAAAACATTTGCTAGACCAATACTCAAATACAGCTCATCAGTCTGGAACCCACATTGCAGATCGAACATTAACACAATCGGGAGAGTCCAGAGATATTTCATGAGAAGAGTCCTCCACTCTTCTACTCGTAACAGAATACCTTATGTCACCAGACTTGAAATTTTAGGCCTAGACAACCTAGAACTACGCCGCCTTCGGTCTGACCTAAGCATAGTACATAAAATTATCTACCTATCAATGACTACTTTCAACGTCAATGAGAACAACACACAAGCACATAATACCCTGTTTCTCCAACAATATGGCCTCCCCCAAGAGGAAGTCCCAGCATGTTTTATAGGCATGAAATGAAATTAAGCCCCTCCCCCCAAATTAAGGCCTATATTAAAACATGCGAAATGGGGGGGAATGGTGGGGGGGCTTGCCGTTAGGAAGTACTTTTGTGGCACACCCGGATATGGTGCTGCCTGCGTTGACCCCGATATGAAGTGCCCCACCAATGCCGAGGTCAACATCCAAGCCATCGCCGCCCGCCCGCCCGAAGATGCAAGGGGGGGGGAATTAAGTCACCCCCCGAAAAGACGGCCTAGCCATTTTTTCGGGGCTCAAAAAAAAATAAGACCCGGCCTTATTATATGAGAAACACGGTAGATACAAACTCAAGATATACCACACCAAACTTGATTGCAGGAAATACAACTTCAACAACAGAGTGGTCAATGCCTGGAATATTCTACCTGTGGTTTCTTCCTAAAACCTCCAAAACTTTAACCTCAGACTGTCTACTGTTGACCTCACCCCATTCCTAACAGGTCTGTAGGGGGCGTGCATAAGCGCTCCAATGTGCCTACCATCCCTGTCCAAATGTTTCTTTTTATTCGCGCAGTCATAATGATGTTTATACTTATACCTGTTATCTAATACTTGCTTGACAAACAAAAGAATAAATAAAAATAAATAAAAGAAAGGGATTTGAATTGGGTGAGCCAAAACGGAGATGGAAAAAGAGAACAAGGAGGTGGGAAACCTAGATCTGTGGTTGTTTGCTAGGGTAGCTCGATAGAACTTCTACAAGAGGCAGTCTGCCTTTGCGTTCTTGAGGTGGAGTTTGTGGATTCCCCCCCCCCAACTCCTTCCACAACCACATTCCAGGACTGCACAATGTGCCATTGTTGGAAACCTGCATTCCGCTGTTCCATTCTTTCCCATGATGCATTTGGAATATACCGTAGCATCTCCAGGCATTGATTTAAAAAAAAAATCTCTGGGAAATGGAGTTTTAGGACCGGGGTGGGGGACAAGCTTGTGGTTGTGGGGTCTTGGAGGGGAGAAACGGTGGGGCAGCCAGAAGCAGACAGCCAGGTAAATCTTGCAAGCCCCACCCACCTCTAGCCCCACCCTTATCGAGCTCCTCCCCCTCACCTGCAGCTCCCAATTGCTGTGCATCAGCCCTGCTTTGACTCTTGATAGGTTGGAGTCAGCCCAGAAGTGGGAAATGTTACTGAACTACAACTCTCAGCATCCCTCAGTGTTGTGCAGACTGGGGTGCTGGGAGTTGTAGTTTGGGGAGGTTTCCCAGATCTAGCTACTTCCATTCTCAACCCAGAAGTGGGGAATGTTATGGAACTACAACTCCCAACATCCCTCACTGTTGTCCAGACTGGGGTGCTGGGAATTATAGTTTGAGAAAATTTCCCATATCTGGCTACTTCCATTCTCAACCCAGAAGTGGGGAATGTTATGGAACTACAACTCCCAACATCCCTCACTGTTGTCCAGACTGGGGTGCTGGGAATTATAGTTTGAGGAGGTTTCCCATATCTGGCTACTCTCATTCTCAACTCAGAAGTGGGGAATGTTATGGAACTACAATTCCCAGCATCCCTTACTGTTGTCCAGACAGAGGTGCTGGGAATTATAGTTTGAGGAGCTTTCCCATGCCTGGCTAATCCCATTCTCAGCCCCAAAGTGGGAAATGTTACTGAACTATAACTCCCAGGATCCATCATGTTGGCCAAGCTGGGCTGCTGGGAGTTGTAGTTTGGGTAGATTTCCCACACCTGACTAGTCCCATTCTTAGGGGTGGAAGTCATCATGGTTTGGGGTCTCACCAGCCTGTTTTCTTCCTGCTGTGCAGGGGAGGTCAGGATGCCTTCAGGCAAGACGGCGTGTCCACACATCACCGACAACAAGAATGGGACGGTGACGGTGAAATATGCCCCCACAGAGAAGGGGCTGCATGAGATGGACATCAAATATGATGGCAACCACATTCCAGGTGAGAAAGAGAGAGCGAATGGGGTAAGATTGATTCCTGGGGAGAGTAAGTGGCTGACTAGGGAATTCTGGGAATTGAAGTCCACCCATCTTAAATTTATTGAGCTGGCTGAGGAATTCTGGGAATTGAAGTCCACCCATCTTAAAGTTGTTGAGGTGGCTGGGGAATTCTGGGAGTTGAAGTCCACCCATCTTAAATTTATTGAGCTGGCTGGGGAATTCTGGGAGTTGAAGTCCACCCATCTTAAAGTGACCAACATCAGGAAAGAACGAAAACACACTACCAGAATGAAAACACACTACATTTGGGTGCACACGTTACGCTAAACCCATTTTATTAAACCATAGTTTGTTAAACAAAATAGATCTCTCTAGAACCAGGTCCTCTTTAAGTGGAAATTTGGATGTCTGTTTGCTGGAGCTGCCACACCTGATCGGGCAGGTGGGGGTGGGGAGGCTAGAGAAGATGACCTCTAAGCTCCCTTCCAACTCTAGGACTTTCAGAAAGATTAGCTTATTTCCCAGAGTTCTTCCTTGCCCCCCGTCTGGAAACGGCAGGCTGCCCAGGATTATGGGATGTTGCTTTTTTCCACCCCCCAACCAGGGAGCCCCCTCCAATTTTACGTGGATGCTATCAACGCCCGCCACGTTAGTGCCTACGGACCAGGGTTGAGCCACGGCATGGTCAACAAACCTGCGACCTTCACCATTGTCACCAAGGACGCCGGCGAAGGTGAGTCCCCTGGACCACGTGTGGAAAACGTGGTCAGTCCCCTGGACCACGTGGGGAAAACATTATCGGAGAGTCGTGATGTCTGCCCAAGAGGCGGCTGTCAGGGTTCCAACAAATCCACCCCCATTCAAATGATAAGTCTCTAGCGGCATCTCTCAGAATATATATAAAAAAAAGATTTATTAGGAGTGACCGTGTCGGTGTTACCTGGGTGCAGCCGACTCTAAGGCACATCACTCATTTCCCCCTTGACCCTGGTCTTTCCCCCACCCCCTGGGTGTATATTCTCCAATGGGACACATCCATAGCCAAGAGTCATCAAACATGCTGCTCTCCAGTAATAACCTTGCCCTAACCCTAACCCACAGGAGGCCTGTCCCTGGCTGTGGAGGGCCCGTCCAAAGCCGAAATCACCTGCAAGGACAATAAAGATGGCACCTGCACTGTTTCCTACCTCCCCACGGCTCCCGGCGACTACAACATTATTGTCCGCTTCGACGACAAGCACATTCCTGGCAGCCCCTTCACTGCGAAGATCACAGGTAGCCCTTCTGCTCTCTCTACCCCAACCTCAACTATTTTTATTTTATTTTATTTTTATTTATTTTATTATTATTTTATTGTAATTTATTTTATTTTAATTTGTTTTAATTTATTTTACTTTATTATTATTTTAATTTATTCATTTCATTACATTTATTTTATTATTTTATTTTTATTTTATTTTATTGTTATTGTTATTTTATTGTTATTTTATTCTTTTATTTATTATTTATTATTATTATTTTCTTTTATTATTATTATTTATTTTCTTTTATTATTTTTTCTTTTATTTTCTTTTATTATTTTTTCTTTTACTTTACTTTTTACTTTACTTTATTTCATAAAACATGAAGAATGGTTGCAGGATTTGGGTCTGTTTAGACTTAGAACCTTAGGGACGTGGTGGCTCAGGGCCTAAGATGCTGAGATTGTCAATCAGAAAGGTCAGCAGTTCGGCGGTTTGAATCCCTAGCGCCGTGTCACGGAGTGAGCTCCCGTTCCTTGTCCCGGCTTCTGTCAACTTGGCAGTTCGAAAGCATGTAAAAAATGCAAGTAGGAAAATAGGGACCACCTTTGGTGGGAAGGGAACAGTGTTCTGTGCGCCTTTGAAGGCATTTAGTCCTGCCGGCCACATGACCATGGAGACGTCTTTGGACAGCGCTGGCTCTTCTTTGGCTTTGTAACAGAGATGAGCAGCACCCCCTAGAGGTGGAAACGATTAGCACGGATGTGCTAGGGGAACTTTTACCTTTACCTAGTCTAATGAACAGAAGGACTAGGAGGGTGACATGAGGGGCTACCCCAAAGAAGAGGGGGTAAATCTATTCTCCAAAGCACCAGAAGGCAGGACAAAAAGCAACAGATGGCAACTAATCAAGAAGAGAAGCAACCTGGGGAAATTTCATGACAGTTAGGACAATTAACCAGTGGAACCATTTGCCTACAGAAGTTGTGGATGCTCCAACACTTTGATTGCTTATTGCACCCAATGACTATCATTAAGTGTTGTATTTTAGGATTCTTGACTCTTGACGAATGTATCTTTTCTTTTATGTATACGGAGAGTATTTACACCAAGACAAATTCCTTGTGTGTCCAATCACACTTGGCCAATAAG